ATCAAGTTGAACCACCGAGACGTCGACTGGACCAACAGCCAATTGAAGAATGTTTCAACATGTATTGCAGTTGTCAAAACGACTTCGTCAGAACCGAAAACAACCTCAAAAGCCCAAGGAATGGAGCCCAAGAGGCACGCTAGGATTCTTGACGAGGGGGTGGAGTTACATAGCTCATTAACACCCCCGCAATGTGAGTGTGTTAATGCTAAAGAAAAATCACCAACCAAAACAGCTGGCAAGCCATCTTCCTTCCTAGAACTTTCAACAGATAACGATGTAAACCCAAAAGAGGAAAGCCAAACTGCGACTGTGAACAACACAGTTATGTCCAAGCCGGAAAGAACCTCGGAGACCCACTTGGAGTTGGAGCCTACGAGGTAAGCTAGGCAAAGCGACATGGGGGTAGAGACTGATAAAGACTCGAGTATACCCCCGCAGAGTACGTGTATAGTTGATTCTCCCGTATCAGTTAAAGAACAGACTAGCAAGCGTGGTTTTCTCCTAAAACAGACATCATCTATCACACGCCTTCAGTCGAGATTACCACGAACCAACAAAGTCCTGGATCAGCTACGCAAATCACAACGACCTACACCCGCAATGATAGATGCTGTGAAAGCGTCGTGGAATGTATCGTCAAAATTAGCTGCAGAGCAAGCTAAGGATGTACCGGCCAAATCAGCTACCGAACTAGTGCCAAAATGTTATCATGAATATCTTCACATGTTTGAAAAAGTCAATTTGAATGTTCTACCGCCACACAGACCCTACGACTTTCGAGTGGATCTAATACCTGGAGCTACGCCTCAAGCAGGAAAAGTAATCCCTTTATCGCCGAAAGAAAGTGAAGTGCTGAATGAAATGTTGGAGAAAGGACTTCAAAATGGAACTATTAGAAGAACAACGTCTCCATGGGCTGCTCCTGTGCTCTTCACAGGAAAGAAGGACGGCAACTTGCGGCCATGCTTTGATTATAGGAAGTTGAATGTGGTAACAATCAAGAACAGATATCCTCTGCCGCTTACAATGGAGCTGATAGACAGTCTGTTAAATGCCGATCAATTCACTTCTTTAGACATGAGGAATGGTTACAACAATTTAAGAGTAAGAAATGGAGATGAGGCAAAGCTGGCTTTCATTTGCAAGGCAGGCCAATTCGAACCTCTGACGATGCCCTTTGGACCAACGGGAGCTCCCGGATTTTTTCAATATTTTATTCAAGATATTCTCAGAACTCATATTGGCCGTGATGTTGCAGCGTATCAAGATGACATATTGATATACACCGGACCAGGAGTTGATCATGAAGCTGTGGTGAAGGAAGTACTCGATATATTGAAGGAACAAAATGTTTGGTTGAAGCCTGAAAAGTGTAAATTTTCAATGAAAGAAATATTGTACTTAGGCTTAATTATCTCAAAAAATCAAATCCGGATGGATGAAAGCAAGGTCAAAGCTGTGAAGGATTGGCCAATACCACGTAATGTAACTGAAGTACAAACATTCCTGGGCTTTTTGAATTTCTACAGGAGGTTCATTGATCAATTTTCGAAGATTGCTAGACCGTTACATGAATTATCACAGAAAGCGGTTGAATTTGAATGGAATGATGAACGCAATAGAGCCTTTGAACATCTGAAAACCGCCTTTACGACAGCACCGGTATTGAAGATAGCGGACCCGTTTCGACCTTTCATACTTGAGTGCGACTGCTCAGACTATGCATTAGGGGCAGTGCTATCTCAAGTATCAGAAGAGGACAATCTACTTCACCCCGTTGCGTACTTATCAAGATCATTAATACAGGCCGAGCGGAATTATGAGATTTTCGATAAGGAGCTCTTAGCAGTAGTAGCGTCTTTTAAGGAGTGGCGTCAGTACCTTGAAGGGAACCCAAACAGGCTCAATGTTATCGTTTACACAGATCACAAGAACTTAGAGTTGCTGATGACAACGAAAGAGCTCACGAGAAGACAGGCAAGATGGGCGGAAATCTTAGGTAGCTTTGATTTCGAAATCAGGTTCCGACCTGGGCGACAATCAACCAAACCGGATGCTTTATCAAGAAGGCCTGATTTTATTCCTCAGAAGGGCGAGAAATTGTCCTTTGGTAAATTACTCAAACCCGAAAATCTGCCCAGTGATGCATTCATTGACACCTTAGAAGTCATGGAAGACTGGTTCGAGAATGAAATTGAATTCATGGAAGAGGAAGTCAATGAGGAGAAGGAGGAAGACGAAACCCAACAGACGAATATAATGACTGATATTGATATATTGAGATTGATTAAGGAAAAGTCAAAGCTCGACAAGAAAGTTCAAGAAATCATAAGTCTTTGCGCCGATTTGCCAACATCGAAACTAACAAAGGATTACCGAGTTGAAAATCAAATGTTATATTTTAAGAACAAGGTAGTAGTTCCGCAAGACATAGAACTAAAACTACAGATTTTACGGTCGAGACATGATAGCAAACTGGCAGGACATCCAGGTAGAATGCGCACACTAGCTTTAATCAGAAGATCGTTTCATTGGCCTTCGATGAAGAAATTCGTGAACCAGTACGTGGATGGTTGTGAATCATGTCAACGGGTGAAAGCTCGCACAGAGAAACCCTTCGGAAGCTTAGAACCTCTTCCGATCCCAGAAGGACCATGGCTACACATCTGTTACGACTTAATCACGGACCTACCAACATCAAAAGGATTCGACAGTATATTAACTGTAGTTGATCGTTTGACAAAAATGGCTCATTTCGTTGCTTGCAAGAAGAATATGAATTCAAGCGAATTAGCGGACTTGATGGTAAGAGAGGTTTGGAGGCTACATGGCACTCCCCGTACAATCACTTCAGATAGAGGAAACATTGTTATCTCAAGAATCACGAAGGATTTCAACAAGAGATTAGGAATTAAAACCCAATCTTCGACGGCGTACCACCCGCAAACGGATGGTCAAACCGAAATCACCAATAAGGCGGTCGAGCAATACATACGGCACTTTGCATCATACAAACAAGATGATTGGTACGAACTACTGCCTTTAGCAGAGTTTTTGTATAACAACAACCAGCATGTGGCGATAGGGGTTTCGCCTTTTAAGGCCAATTATGGATTTGATGTGAATTTTACTGACATACCTGCCAGTGAGCAATGTCTTCCCTTCGTCGAACAGCATATAGAACAAATCAAGACGGTCCAACGAGAACTAAGAGATTCAATGGCGTTGACTCAAGAAACGATGAAAACGCAGCATGACTCAAAAGTTAGAGAGACTCCGGTGTGGAAAACGGGAGAAAGGGTATGGTTAAGCAGCAAACACATGTCGACTACACGTCCTACAGCTAAGTTTTCACATCGTTGGCTGGGACCTTTCACAATTACGGCAAGAGTGTCAAACAATGCTTACAAACTCATTCTACCCAAGTCAATGGATAGGATTCACCCGGTTTTTCATGTTAACCTGTTAAGAAAGTTTGAAGGCAGCACAATACCTGGACAACGAAAAACTCCGCCACCTCCAATAGTCATAGAAGAAAATGAAGAATTCAAAATTAATGAAGTTCTTGATAAAAGGATGAAAGGAAAGAAAATTGAATACCTCATCAGTTGGAAAGGTTATGGATCAGAATACGATACGTGGGAACCAGAAGAAGGACTTGAAAATGCGCAAGACATGGTAAATGAATTTAACAAAAAATACCCACAAGCTGAATCAAGGTATAAAAGGACACGGAGAAAGAAGTGAGGGTGAGGCTTTTTCCCACAGGATTTTTTAATGCCAACCCGTGGAAAGATGCTGACCTGCAAGAGGGGGTTGAGACATAAAAGGGGGAGTGGTGTTATGATCTGACTCTTACAAGGCTTATATACTTAACCTCATATGCTTGTACTGAACTGGGTTGTCTTTAGTCTATTCCTCACGCTAGTAGACTGTTCCCTCACTTAGCAATTCATCTAGCTATTCAGATCACCCTTGAAGCCTCTCTTGCATCTCTAAGCTCATCAGGTTCTAACAATATTTTTGTAATTAACTATTCTAGTCTAGTCAATATGTATATTTTAGAACAGACTAATACTTTTCTCGTTGCGCTAAACCCCTGACCTCATTTCTAACCAACTTACCATATAACTAACAATAGACCAGACAAGATGGCTTGGTATAGATGGATAATGAAATAAGGAACAAATGGACTTTTTGTAGCGTGAATGATTGTGTGACTATTGTAGGCCCTGTAAGACTCTTGTGCTGTATAAATAGTGCCTGCTGTAGCCTTGTATTTGTTTTCCTCACTCACTCATATTTTGCTACTGTTCTCAATTCGTCCATCACCTTCTTATTCTTCCATCAACTTCTACATCTCTAGGTGTGTCCTCAGCTTTGTTGTTGATTTAAATCCAACATAAGCATATACTTATCAGCAGCGCTTTAGACCTTTTTGGTTTTTACTACTTTTGCCCTTAACAGATTGAGGAGCATATGAGAAATATCACTAGTGAGTTCTGACTTTCTTCTTCTTCCACTTGTTTAGCAGCTAAGTCTTTCATTTCTTCTTTCAACTTATCCATGTTTAAAAGTTGGCCTAAGTTTGCGGTCCACGGTACTAGGGAGTGTGCAAAGATTGTTTCCATTTTCTCTTTAGCTATCAGTTGGATTAGAAAAATTAAGGATGTCTTGAACTCCCCTGTCCCCCACAAAAACGTACCTTGCCCCGAGGCAACCCGAGTGCTTTCTGAGGTGCCCTCGGGTCAGAACAAGGCTTGGCCTTTCTCGAGGCTGGCCCGGCTCGCACCTGTCCGGGCCGCAGCCTCGTGTACACCTGGCACCACACGATGCATACATATGTATGTACAGTATTGGAGATCACGTGATTTTCCCCCAATCTGAAATCGAAATTCCCCGGGGAAAATCAGTTTATCTCTGTAGTGTGATGAAAGTCGCTGACCCAATCTGGCTTGAAGTCACCATCATCACCTTACTCCCTGAAAGAGGCGCACGATCGCTAGCTAAGATACAATCAAGTTGAACTTCAAATCTAACATCCTTCATTATCTGTTAGTGATCTTGATTTCTTTGAAGGCAGTCATTATGCAATTGTCAGATAGCTAACATCTTGATCATGATTTCGAATCACTTTCTGAACCAAAACCCATTGGGCTCTTTGCCACCTGGTATCACACTGGGTTTGATTTCGGTTACCGCTCAGACCATGGCGGGCGGTGACCTACAACCGGGTTCGAAAGATGCCTTCGCACTGAATACTCCAATGTAAGTTTACTTATCATCCAGTGTGCCACAATTTGATTGCTGATCTTTTGTCCATCTCGTCTCCAGACCATCTATGCCTGGCACGCCAGGAGGAACCATGGGACACCATACGCCCAACGTTCAATCTATCCGACGTCATACTGCTGGTCATCGTGGTCCACTTCAGAAGATTTTGGTGGCAAACAGAGGTGTCAGTGGAATGCTCTTATCTCGAGCCAAATTCCCGCCAAGTGTGATTGGAGCTGATCGAAGGTTTGATCATCACAGGAAATTGCATGTCGTGTCTTTAGAACGGCCCACGAACTTGCCATGCACACTGTTGCTATCTATTCCCATGAAGACCGAATGAGTGCTCATCGCCACAAGGTCAAAACTATTGATGACCTCTCTCTTGTTTGATAAACACAAAAGACTCAATGCGTTTTAATTCCTCTCAGGCCGATGAAGCTTACATGGTCGGAAAAGGTCTCACCCCGGTTGGTGCTTACCTTGCACAGGACGATATCATTAAATTAGCCCTCGAACATGGTGTAGACATGATTCACCCTGGGTGGGTGTTTCCTTGCTTTTCATAAATCTATAACCAGAGTCTGACTGTCTTACCTCGATTCAGATACGGGTTCTTGGCTGAAAATGCCGAATTCGCCAAAAAGGTAGAAGAGGCTGGATTGGCTTTCATTGGTCCACAACCCGAGGTAATCGACGGGCTGGGTGACAAGGTGAAAGCTAGGACTCTTGGTGATTCGATTTCCCTATCCCATCTTTGAATTCACTGAGATAAAATGGATAGCATCGCTTAATCCGCCCTACTCTTTGTTGATTAGCCATGAAGTGCGGTGTTCCAGTCGTACCTGGGACTGAAGGCGCGATTGCTAGCTATGACTTGGCAGATGCCTTCATCAAGGAGCATGGATTTCCCGTCATCATCAAGGCAGCCATGGGGGGTGGAGGACGAGGTATGCGGGTGGTACGTGCCGCAGAAGAATTCAAGGAATCTTTCGAGCGAGCTGTTTCAGAAGCGAAGGCGGCGTTCGGAGATGGGACGGTCTTTATTGAGCGTTTCCTAGACAAACCTCGTCATATCGAAGTACAACTCTTAGGGGATAGCGCTGGAAATGTGATCCATCTTTTCGAACGTGATTGCTCGGTTCAACGTCGTCACCAAAAGGTCGTTGAGCTTGCTCCTGCTTCGGAGTTGACCGACGAAGTGCGCTCGAAGATTTTGGAGGATGCGAAGAAGTTAGCATCAGCTGTGAATTACCGTAACGCGGGGACTGCCGAGTTCCTTGTCGATCAACAGGGTCGTCACCATTTCATCGAGATTAACCCTCGTATTCAAGTGGAGCATACTATCACCGAAGAAATCACTGGAATCGATATTGTTGCAGCTCAAATCCAAATTGCAGCTGGTGCTACCCTTGCCGATTTAGGTCTCACTCAAGATGTGATTACGAAGCGTGGATATGCTATTCAGTGCCGTGTGACCACTGAAGACCCAGCGGCAGGTTTCCAACCAGACACCGGCAAGATCGAAGTCTACCGCTCAGCCGGAGGTAACGGTGTCCGACTGGATGCTTCCTCCGGTTTCGCGGGGGCTCAAATCACCCCTCACTATGATAGTTTATTAACCAAAGTCACAGTTCGAGGTGCTACTTTTGAGATTGCTCGTAGAAAAATGTTGAGAGCTTTGGTCGAGTTCCGAATCCGAGGTGTGAAGACCAACATTCCGTTCTTGTTCAGGGTCTTATCACATGAGACCTTTGTAGCGTGTCAAACGTGGACAACGGTCAGTGTTGAATAATCTTATCTTCAAACCCACTGGGCTTGTATACTGACCCTCACTTTTTGCTCTTTCAATTGATTAAGTTCATTGATGATACACCAGCATTGTTCCACTTGATCAGCAGTCAAAACCGAGCTCAAAAGCTTCTCGGGTATCTCGGTGACCTTGTCGTTAACGGAAGTAGCATCAAGGGCCAACAAGGTGAACCTGGATTGAAGGAAGAAATTGTCATCCCACAGTTTGCCCACCGAACCGATCCCGAAAAACCTCTCGATGTGACTCAGCCAAGTCAATTTGGCTGGAGAGAAATCCTCAAGACTCAAGGTCCTGCTGCATTTGCCAAGGCAGTGCGTGATTACAAAGGATGTCTGATCATGGACACCACTTGGCGAGACGCTCATCAATCTCTTCTAGCTACCCGTCTTCGAACCATCGATATTCTCAACATTGCTCGTGAAACTAGTCATGCTCTAGCCAACGCTTACTCGCTTGAATGTTGGGGAGGTGCAACTTTCGACGTAGCAATGCGATTCCTCTATGAAGATCCATGGGAACGACTTCGAAAGATTCGTAAACTAGTACCTAACATTCCTCTCCAAGCTTTGATAAGAGGAGCGAACGCGGTGGGTTATACTTCTTACCCGGACAATGCCATCTACGAGTTTTCGAAAAAGGCTGTCGAGAATGGACTAGATATCTTTAGAGTCTTTGATTCTTTGAATTATCTTGACAATATGAAACTCGGTATTGATGCTGCCAAACGAGCTGGAGGAGTGGTTGAAGCTACAATTTGTTACACGGGAGATGTAGCTGATCCAAAGAAGACAAAATACACTTTAGATTATTATATGAAATTTGCAGCTGAATTGGTTGCTGAGGGTATTCACGTGCTTGCGATCAAGGATATGGCAGGCTTATTGACCCCTCGAGCTGCAAAGATGTTCGTACAATTTCCTTGAAGTGCAGGTACCTTGAGAAGGCTGATTCGGTTTGATTCTCCACAAATCGTTAGTCTGATTGGTAACTTGCGAGAAAAATACCCAGATTTACCTATCCACGTTCACTCTCACGATACTGCCGGGATCTCCCTGGCGACGATGCTGCAATGCGCTGAATCAGGTGCCGATGTCGTTGATTGTGCAATCGACAGCATGTCTGGAATGACCTCCCAATGTGCTATGGGCGCTTTGTGCGCTGCGCTTGAGCAAAACGGTCTCGGGACTGGAATCTGCTACGACGACGTCCAAGCTTTGAATGTATGTGTTCCAAGTTTAAAATTCAAATTCTTGAACCTGTTCACTGATAAAAGGGGACCTGTCTCGACAGCTCTACTGGTCTCAATGCCGAATGCTTTACAGCTGTTTCGATGCTAACGTAAAAGCTAGTGACTCGGGTGTTTATGAGTTGAGTATCTGATCTGGGTAAAGCTGATCTTATGCGAAACTTACAACGCTTCCTCTATGTGATTGTAGGCATGAGATGCCCGGTGGGCAATACACTAACCTCATGTTCCAAAGCCAACAACTTGGTCTTGGTACACAATGGGCTGCGGTGAAGAAAGCTTATGTACGCGGTTTCCTGCTCGATCACGCCATTGCCTCGCTGACTTGGCTATCTCACTTCCGGTTGCTCATAGATTGAAGCCAATCAACTATGTGGTGATATTGTAAAGGTAACCCCTTCATCAAAAGTTGTGGGAGACTTTGCTCAGTTCTTGGTGTCCAACAAGCTCTCTAAGGCTGATGTCGAAGCACGAGCCGATAAACTTGACTTCCCTAACTCGGTGGTTGAATTTTTCCAAGGATATCTCGGTCAACCTGTGGGTGGATTCCCAGAGCCGCTACGTAGTCAAATCATTCGTGATAAACCTAGAATTGAGGGTCGTCCGGGTATCAGTATGGCACCATATAATTTCGATAAGACCAGAAAGGATCTTCAAGAGAAATTTGGAAAGAGTATTACCTCAACGGTTCGTTGTCTTTTTCAGACCTGGTGATGAAATCCAATTTCTGCAAATGCCGATTGACTTTTTGGCACCTTTTATAGGACGTTCTCTCTTATTGCATGTACCCCAAAGTGTATGAAGAATTTAAAGAATTTTTGACCAAGTACGGTGACTTGTCAATTCTACCTAGTGCGTACATTTTCAATTTGATTTGAAATTCTTAACGTGATGAAGCTGAGCTGACATGGAGATGATAAATACAGCAAGATACTTCTTAGCTAAACCTGAAGTGGGTGAAGAGCTACATATCTCGATCGAGCAAGGAAAGACTTTGATCGTGAAACTATTGGCTTCGGGGCCGGTCAAGTTCGTCCTTTTCGTGAAGTTGAACGCGAAGGGAACTTTGCTGACTTTTTACCACTTATTTCTCAATCTTGTGACTACAGCCCTGAGACTGGAGTAAGGGAAGTATTCTTTGAATTGAACGGTGAGACTCGAGCTGTACAAGTCGAAGATCGTAACGCGGCTGTAGAAGTGAGTTTTTTACCACCTTGCTCGTTTACTTCGCCAAGTGCTATCTCTGAGTAATTGATGATGATTGATGCTTTGAATTATCAGACGGCTCATCGGGAAAAAGCAACATCAGACCCAGGTTCAGTTGGATCACCAATGGCAGGTGTGGTTGTAGAGATTCGAGTTCAAGAAGGACACGAAGTGAAGGCTGGTGATCCAATTTGTATCATGTCAGCTATGAAGATGGAACAGAATGTTACAGCACCTGTGGGTGGTAAAGTTTCAAGAGTTGCCGTTGGACCTGGTGATAGTCTTGGATCTGGTGATTTGATTGTAGAGGTGAGCGTTTGTTGTGTTGAATATCTTGGCAAATCTCTTTCGGTTTCTATATCCTCAATTCTCTCGCAAGGTGTAGGTTTACTGATGATACTCTCTTATTCCTCTTTTGTGATGACATCGAAAACAGATCAAACATAGCTAGAATACGAATTCCGCTAGACCACAAAAATGTTAAAAAGCTTGATACCAAGAATTTGAATTGCTTATTATCATGAATACAAGACGAAGTATAACAGTACAAAGAAAGTAACTGCAAAATAGTTTGCAAGTATATCCAGAAAAAAATGTGTGCGATGTGAAATTATCAGATTTATCGATTGTAAAGTAGCACTTGAAGAAACAAGATGTGTTTTGTGAGAATTATAGTCAAGTTCTTTGTGTCATTTAAAATTTTCAACATCAATGTTGATGGCTTGAATGGCTCTGAGTGTTAAGATGTAGCTTGATAGCAACATTGGCAAAACCAGGTCGAAATAGTTTGTTCGTACTTCCAGGTAGTCGCTCATTTTTTATTTTGAAGCTCAGCAGGGGCGAGGTTGAAGTGGGGTTCATTTGAAGAAACATGAGCACAGCCCCTCACCTCCAAGTCATACCGCCACCGCTCCGCTCCGCAATCAGTTTTGGACCCCTTTGCAATGCGGAGCGCAAAGCTCTCAGTTGGGTTTTTTCTCTCAGAGTTGCGGAGCACTTTGAGCACCGTTTTTTGCTATGCCGCGCGCAATGTGGTGGTGGTTGCATTGTGCCCCTATATTCCAACATTGTGCGCTAAGGTCACAGAAAGATCTTCAAGTCACTTGCAGCAGGCATTTGGATTTTTTTGGATGAAAGAAATCCAATCTGCACCAGGAAAATACAGTTCACTCTGAAAGTGATATAATTTTGAGTTTTTGACTTCAAAAGTTAAATCTGGTGACGACAATTTTTTCACAAATCTGCCAATAAATCTTACAACGGCTGTAATTTTTGCGCTCAGGAACGCAAAGTTTACAATAAATCACACTAAGACAATGGGTGCTCTTATCAACTTGGTAAACATAATCATTGTTATACGTCATCACTCTTTACCACTTTACCTTTTGTAAAGCTGTTGGAGTTTGTAAAAGATCTTCTTACCTTCCACATAATATATCTTATATTTTGTGATTCATCCATTGTGTTAAAAACATCAATTTTCCTTCTCCTTTCCTTGAAAGCTTAGGTCAGTAACCCAATTACAGGAATTTTTTATACCGCCCATCCCTCCCTTGTTGACTTAAAGGAGTGGTTTTTCTATCTTAATTGTTAGCTTTAGTGACCACCCCTCAGGGCCTTGTTGGTTTCTTGTTGCAATTTTGAGTCAGAGCCCTTGGGCCGTCCTGTGTTATTTTAGCAGTCTTCAATCAACTCAGACCTGTCCCAAAGTCTACGCTGCCAATCCAATTTCATTGAAAGGTCTCATGGGCTGTGGCAACTCTGCCACAAATACGATACTGGTATTGTATTGACAATACTCAGCAAAGTAATGGGTCTACAATACTAAGGAATCCAAGCCTCAGTAACGTACCTGTACCCTCAATACAATACTCAGTAAAGTATTGCAATGGCAATACTGTGCCGCCCATTACCTAGTAGCGTATCTTGTCACAATACCAATCAGATACTGATACTGTATTGTAGTATCACACTCCCAGACACAAAAACACCAGAGATTGTATACTCAATACTTCCCTGGGCCCATTGTGGTATTGTACTTGGGGTGCAATACAATACTCAGTAAAGTAACACTATACACAATACTGCCAGGAGGATCAGGCAGTAACGTATTGTGGCTGTGATACTGATACTGACAATACGATACTAAAAAAAACTACAATACCGTTACAATACCAATACTGGTAAAGTAATTGTGGCAGCGTTGGCTGTGGTATAGGATGTGCTGGCTGCTATGATTTTGGAGGTCAGCTGTATACAGGTACAACACTAGCTGCACTGAAGTTGACTCTGAGAAAACCAATACCCAAGAAATTGAGAACAGAACCATTGCTTTTGATCCTGTATCTGTTTTCTCAAATCTCTGGCAAAACCAATAACAATAAAATTGCAGGGAAGATATTGATTTTCACATAGAATGATAATTTTTATCTTTTATTAAACAATCTTTCACTGCAAGGATATCATATTTCTCCATGTTAAAAAACGGTTGCATTTATGGAAAAATGGTTGACAAAAAATTGTTTCTGAAATTGTGGGCTCAGTTTTGCCGCAAGATTCTAAAAAAACTGGAGAGGAAGACAATGCTCATTGTCATGGGATGTTTCTTGAAGCATCTTACTCAGCTTAAACTCAGAAAGCAATTTCTGATTATTTTCTTGGTTTTTGGAAGCTCACAGGAGTTCAAAAAATCTGGAATTCTCAGGACAGATCAGGAATACTCTTTGCAATGTGCGCTGATTTTTTCCAATTTCTTGGTCCTTTTGTCTTGGATAGAGGAAAGGTATAAAATCAAGTTGTTGTTTGTTTGCCTTGGAAAATGCAAATGAATTTTGGGTCACAAATGCATTGATTTTTGACCTATTAATTGTCTTGGATGGTACTATTTGGCACCCGCTTGGATAATCCCCAAAGCCTGGTTCTCCAGGGCTTTACCTGCATCTTTTGTAGAAAACCCAAGCCCAGCTTGGCCAAATTACACCACAGCCACAGCTGATCTGGGCCCTAAACAAGTGAAACAGCCCTTTTATTCCATACCGGGCTATTGAATCACTGAACCTGGCATTTTGATCATGTAATCAGCTCTGAGTCAACATGTTTCACCCGCCAGGCATTCATTTTCCTTGTGTAAAATCTTGCTGAGCCTGTCATTTTGATTCTGATCAAAGTCTACATAACCTCACTGACTGGACAACCATCAAACCCCTAGATCCCAGAAATCTCACAATGGTAAGTGGCTTTCTTCTGCTCTGAAAAGTTTCTTACATCACCTATCCATCCGTCCCTTCTCTCCTCACAGATACCAGTGCTGACAGAACTTCCCCTGCCTCTCTTGCTGTCCTTTACATCTATCATAAGCAGTCTCTCAACACAATATCTGATTTGGAGTTTATGAAGGAGTATTAGATTCTGCTTCCTCAAAATGGAATCAGTCAAGTTAAAGCAAGAGTAGGTCATCTCTTTTCAATGATTTTGCTTGATTGACTGCATTCACAGCTGACATTGACAATCTATCTTCTTCTAATGATAAATTCTGAAGCTTTGACTGCCTCTCTTATTTATCCAGAGGACTTAATCAGGCAAATTGAGAAGACCATTGGGCCTGGCACTCCAACAGTACCTCATTCCAAAAATCTGCTTCAATCACAAGTGCAACATGGCCCCAGCTCTTTTTCTCAAGACTGACTGGAAATCAGATTCTCAGTCTTTTTTTGCAAAGACTCATCTTTGTTTGCTCAACATAGTCATCCTTTGCCAATCAAAAAACCTCAGCTCATTGAATCACAAAACCCATCAAACTCAAATCAAGGTCATCTATAATCCCCTCCAAAACTCTAAACCCCTCTGAACCTAGCAATTCTTTCTATGATTCTTTTTTTTTATTATGGACCATTGTTAGGTACATGAATAGGTGGAAATTAGAAACATTAAATGGTTTTGAAATCTTTTGATCAAAGATTAATCAGTAGGTCAAATATTTATAAAAATGCATTAAGATTAATTTGAACAAGTTTTTCCAACATTGGATTTATTCGGATGGTATACTGTAGGTACCAAACCAACTTTGAATCAGTTAAGTATCCAAATCCAATTAGCTAGTACATTTGAATAGTGCCCACCTTTACTATTACTTTATTCTGCTTATAATACAAATCATATTAAAGAAATATAGGATTGCCCTGAAGAAATTACAATTGAAATTTCTGGATTTTTGAACTTGAATTATAATTGGAGATCACCCTGTCTGTCAAACAAATTTGAGAGTTGTTTGTGTATATTAAGGTACGGATTCTTCAAGTACTGAACTTTCCAAAGTACATCCTTGTATTTGAGCCCTTTGAGCGGTGCTGGTGGCTTTGTTTGTTCACTCACTGGACAAGCAAACAGAGATCTGAACCCATTCACAGGGAGCAGCCCTGTTGAGCTCCAAACCAGGCTGCAAAAACACTGCTATCCAACGTCGGGGCTTCAGGTCTTAAAATGAGAGTCCAACATAGTACCATCCAATTGTCTCTAACAGATGGCCAGATAATGTTACATCCTTTGTTGTGTTGCAATTTTTTTGGGTGGTTTTGGAGCCTTGTACATCTGCAAGCAGCATTTATTAGTTTCAACAACTCACATGTGATGATTTACACGCTGAGCTGGGGAAATTGTCCCCAACTTATACTTTTTTTAGATTTTTTTTTCACCTTTGGAGGCTAAATTGTGTGAAAACGTATTGCATGCTTATGCATCATGCCAGGAAAATATTGAAAATTACCAAACTGGGTGCTTAGATTTTTTTACATCAGGATAAATCTTCCAACAAGAAGAGCACAGCACAATTTGACTTACCTGATTTTTACAGTTTTTTTGGACCAATATCACACACACCATTTGATCAATTCCTAGTTTCAATCATTTTTAACTATGGAGAAATACATTATCCTTGCAGTTTCTGTAACTCTTTGGAACAAAAATTTGTAAGAGTTTGCTATTTGACAGCTTTGGAATAAGCCAAGACACACTTTTTTACCTTTTTGATCAGTTATGACACTTGAAGTTGGCAACAATGCCGGCAAAACAAACAAAACAAGGGTCACATAACACTGCAAACATTATTCAACTTCCACAAGTGGGCAGGAAAAAATGATTGGGAGTATGATTTGTCATAAAATGATCTATCACTCCACATCTGAGCCATAACACCCACACTACATATGTGTAGCAGGCTCAGTCAATATGTGGTTATCATGTACATACAGTTCTGCTCAGGTATCTTCTCATCATGATAAGTTATCCATATGTAGTACATTCTGTAACTTTTTTTCAGATTGACAAAAGAATTCAAAAGATTGACTACATACACTGAATCAACATTTTGGTGTAATCTCATCAACTCAACTGTATGTAACACCCTTTCTGTTAGTAAGAAATAGCTTCAACAATATTGACTGAGCAGCTACAGAATTATAAGTAGTGAATTTTTGGGACAATTTTTTCAGAGTCAAAAAAGTTACATGTGGTATAACATGTGATTTATTTATTCTGATGGGCAAAAAACTGAGCAGACCTGTATGTACATGATGGACATGTATTTACTTAGCTTGCTGCACATACGTAGTGGGGGTGTTATGGCTCAGGTGTGCAGTATTGGATCCTTTTATAAAAAACTGTACTATTGATCATTTTCCTCTTCCAACTTGGGGAAGTTGGATGATGTTCACAGTGATAACTCACAGAATTCTTTGATATGGCCTTGGGAATCCAAACAAATAGTATCAGTTATTGGGTTTGACAAGTTTATCCGTTTTCTGACCAAAATCACTGCAAATGAAATTTCTTTTGTCCAAAAAGTATTGATTTTTTTAAAGTATTGCTTTCTGCACAAATCAATTTTCTCAGAGTCAACTGTATATATGGCTGCCATGAGTGGCTACCATGGAGTGGTAAATGGCCTGCAATTAGCTTCCCGGGGCTATTGAATTCAGATATCTCTCATTCTTGTTACATTAATCACCATTCTACTTGTTGGCTTTGAGCATATTTCACTCTCTGTATTTTATTGTTCTTTTTGTTCCATACCTTTTGAGATTTGTTGGAGCTAATCCAAATGTAATTGATGAGACTCACAATTTTATATGCTTGCTTAACCTATGTCTAGAGAAATCATTCACTATATAACAACTCTGTGTTTTTGATTTGTTTTTCTTCACTCAATGATAATCCTTTTGTCTTCTTATATGTGCCCATTCCCCTTTATCGCTGCTCAGTGCTCTTTAGCTGTAGCAACTTTATACATCACTAATGTGTGATTCTTACCAGGTGCCCATTTCTCTTTATCACTTCTTGATGATCTATAGCCATAGTGCTTTTATACATTACTAGTAGATGATTCCTAGCAGTCACTTACCACATCCAACTTTCCAATCAATTACTTGGAAATGTCAAATCACCATAAGACCTCTGAAGTCAAGGACATACCTTCGTTGGAGCATGATTGGCAACAATGGTCCCCTTTTATGCTTGCACATCTTGCGGAGTGGGACCTTAATGCCATTGTTGATGGCTGTGAAGCTCCACCTGCTAAAGACGCCAGGGAATCTCTCAAAGCCAACTATTAAATACTTTGGGCTTCCAGGGTCTTTTGAAGCTGATGGTGAGTTGATCTTAATTAAGTTATACTGATCAAATTGATTGACTTGTAATGTTTTGCACCTTACTGGATTCATAATTTTGGTTTCCTTGCAAATCTTAAGTAACTCAGAGTGCATTACCCACGAAAGTGTCTTTTCTTGAATATAGCTTTCCTGAGTGGTATGATGTTTCTTTCAGTGTTTAAGCCTTTTATATTGGGATTCCTTTCACTCTGGTAGTTGTTAACTTACCATGTGGATTCCCAAAATGTGGGCTCATATGTTTTGGAAAGAGATGATTTGGTTTTGATTTATGTTCCTAGCTGAGTCATCATTCCACTCGAGAGCAAAAGATAGGTCCCGGTCTGGGTGAGATTTTCGAAGATCTTTTTGCATATATGACCAAAAGCCAATACCTGGTGTGAGGATCATGCAATGGAAATTGCATTGATCATGGTGGTCTAATCACATTTTATGTACGCATTGGTCTCCATTGAAGATCCACCCAAAGAGACCAAACACAAGCGGTGCAAGGCCAGTAAAGGCATATGAGATGCCCATCTTGGTGACTTTCAATCTCTTTTGAAAAAACATATTTGCCACAAAAACTCCACATGAGCAATGAAACTCGTACAAACCATAAGATTGTTACTATTACACTTTACTTCTTACAGACTACTCAGACCCATTTGCCAATCATTAGTCCAATATCTATATCACACATCAATAAAGTTCCACAACACAATATCAATACATATCTACCCAATATCGACCACAACTACACAATCATCTAGAGAGACGTCTTCATTAAACGACTTACCCTGCAGCCAAGGTACCTCCATCCTTTCTATTTGTTTCATCGACCACAGTCCAGTCAGGTAAATTAAGTCCTGTCCTAAGTGGAAATAACCTGAGGGCGGATTCGATCCCTGTACCGTCTGTTCCCGATATCACAATCGCAGTCTTCTGGTCATATGTTGCGGATGGTTGGGTAGGGTTGGATACTTGAGGATGTGGGATTTGATAAAGAATACCTACAAGTTCAGGCACACATTGATCCCGAGAAAATTATTGGTAAATCAAAGCGACCCGTCTTAGCATTTACTTTCTTGTAAGCATAAACACACTGACGCCAAAAAAGTATGAAAGACACCACAAACCTTGTCCAGGTTTATCAAACTCATGACCAGCCACGCTGAATGAAGCTCGATTGTCAATTCCAGCCTTCCATTCGATTTCAACGCTTTGGCGGTCAACGTGCGGTGCAAAATAACAGTTATCTAGAGTATTCCCAATGATGATCAGGTTTCCATCGTCTTCACTTTGATCGAATAATGCTTCCCGATCAGATGATGTGATGGTCATCATACGGAAATAAACAAATAGCATGTGAGCCAGACGTTTCGCCACTGACTGCAGATGGCAGCGCGATTCTTTATTTTGGGTCCCGTATATGATTCTCATAGGGCCAGTAGAGTTTAGTATTTGGGTAAGTGGACGTAGTCGCTTTTCATGAGAGAAATTGTGCCAGGAAGACTGTTCTACTGATTTCCAGCGTTTTTCGTCAGATCTCATCATGATTAGTCGACTTGATGTATACTGGTTCAAATCTAGCTCTAGACCATCAATTGTGGCGCTCATCTGACCGTCTAACATCATCGACAAGACCTTCAAAGGTAATTGGAAAGCGCAAACGTTTGTCGTTTCAATTTTGAGGTCCCATTTGCTTTGATTCTGAACGCCTGTAACTTTGATCCTACCGAGTCTACAAGTGATGGGATCAAGCCGCACAAATCAGCAACAGTGGAAAGTATTCCTTGTGAATTTACTCTTCAGGTTAACTTACTTCCATCCTTGAAGTAACATCATGATTTTAAATCCTTGAAAACTTCCTGCCTCAATGGGGTCACTCACCGTGAGGGTGAATTCAAAAGGGCCTTTCCATCTTTCAAGCTCTTTATCACCTTTATGTATTGATGTTTGTTTGTCTAAAAAGTTCACCACACTGGGTGACTGGAACACATCCGCGAACCAATGTTTCTCATCCGGAACGCCTTCAAAGCTAAAAAAAGATTCAATGCAAATGAATGTGATAGCCATTCATTCAAAAAACTCACACTGTGAAGAATCCAGGTGATGTGCCAGACACAAAGTAATGTGGCACGAGCGATTTCAAAAATTGCTCACGTCACGTTTTTTTGGTTCGCGCCCCACGTATGCAAAAGACCATGCAGTATTTTGGAGTGATATACTGGTACATTATCATCTATCTCGCCATGCTTGATAAGCATCGGCGTATAGACCAAATTGGAAACATGCAGGTCGTTATCATAGATGGATTGGGCAAGAGACACGATGCCTCCCAAAAACGGATCTATGAGGTGTTTTGTTTGGTGTGACGTATAGGGTACGTAGTCTTGTATCTTGACACTATCAACATCGTTATAATCAGCATCTTTATATTCTTTTTGATTTCGTCGCATAGGTTGATCAAATCACTAACTAAGCGGCCGCTGGGATCACTGCCCGAACTCGATCTGGGTAACGACTAGCGAAGTACCAAGCTCCTATCAGAGACAGTCTAGCCAATCAGCTGGAATACTCGCATGTCGAAATTACAGATATAAGAGTATGAATGCTTCCTTGAAGAATCCCTCACCTTGACCGCCATTTGAATGTCCCAAGACAATCAGATCGCTCCCATCAGGCTTAAAGGCTGGTCCATCTTCATGTATCTGAGAACGCCAGATATCCCATACTTTGTCAACAAGACTGCTGATAGCATGCTCAACATTGCAGAGGCTTGGACCATGCCAATCCCAACCCCAAGATGTTCGACCAGTGGGAAATATGACCCATTCTTGCGCACGCTGTACAATCGAAGAGATCCAAAACTCATCGCTAGCTTCAACTCCCGCGCCATGCAAGGCTACTAACAGTGGGCGTTCGAGAGGTGGATACGAGAAATCCGGACCACCGGGGTCAGAACGTTGAGACACAAGAGTCGAAGATACAGGAGTGGATGGTGGAAGACAGATAGCATATTGAACAGATTTATCTGCGTCCAGAAATGTGAAGCGGAAAGTATCACGAGGAGATCTAGTAAGGAAGTCGAGTTCAGATCGGATTGGCGCATGATCCGATACATTGATGATAATCTCCATATTCGAAGGTGATTTGGGAGAAGTGAGGCTGTTAGGAAGTATCAGGCTTAGTGCAGAAATTTGGTTTGGTGCAAGCTTAGTTGGATTCAAAGCCAGTCCAATTGCTTCATATGAGGCATCGTCTTCTCCAGCCCATCGTCCGTACACTGAGGTGATCTTGTATGTCTCATTTGGATCCCAATTTCGGATAGTCAGACCTATTTGGCTTGAGGCCAACTTAAAAGAAGCTTGCATGCGGTTATTGACTAGTACATCGGGAACAAGATTGGGGCTTGAGTAAACTGACAGCATGCGCTGATTCTTCGGGGCGTGCCAGGGTTTCAAGTCTAATCTGAAGCTTGTGGCGGGATCTGATCTGTTGATTGAGAGCGGGTCTCCTCTAATTCTGATATCGTAGACAGACTTTACAATAATGGTGTATTCTCCGGTTAGACTGCGAGGCAGTGCCAATGTCTGGGTGAACGGATGAAGCTCATTGCTGTTTTTGATTATCATGAGGTCAGAGTACGAATACATATCACCTTGATACCATTCCAGATCATGAGGGTCCGAGTTTGAACAGATAGTCCACTCATACCCTTCAATTAGATTTCCAGTGATGAACATTGGCTGATCATTTCTTTCAGGCTTGATGGTCAATTTTGTTCGTAGATACGTTATATGCTGAAGACCTGCCCAACCAGAGGTGCTTCGGATATAGTCCCAACTGTTTAATGAGCAAGCATGTGTCAGGCGCACAAGTACAATAAATTAGGGCTTGAGGAAGACTATAACTGCTTCTCACCGAACATTTGGGTGATCAATGATCATTTTTTCGAAATCTGATCCTGATTTGAAAGTTTTCCACGTGGCGTGTCCACCATCGACGAGTGCTGAGGGAACTGACGAATCATCGTTCTCGAACCGCATATTTGTGAAAGACCCTGTGTCAGAAGCGTTTATTCGTTAACTCACTGTTCTGAATCTACAATCTTATTTCCACGAATGAGTGGCTTGCCAAAGTGCCTCAACGAGAATGGTGAGGGGCATATTGGCCATTCTCTCGTTCCTCTGGTTTCAGGTAATAAATCACGCGATCGTTAAAATGGTTCGATGATTTCAATGAGTCGCCAGCTTCCTTCAAATATCATGGCGGAAACTGATTCCGAGCGCTACAAATCAACTCACATTGGAAATGGACCTAATGCCTATATGTGCACCATAATTGAGCTTAGGATGCAGGTGCGGTTTATGAGATTTATCACCCCAAAGAGTATTACTAACTTCCCAGTTACCGTCCCATTCGATCGCCATGCCATTGGTACGCCTGTTTCATGAGAGTTTGGATAGTCTCAGTCTTTCATATTGAAGGCTCATAGAAGGTCTTCATCGACATCGTACTCACTTCAGCTGATCAATTTCAGGGATCAAAGGCCAGATCATCACGAAGACGTGGGCATGAACGGAAACCGTGGATGTTTTGGCCCAGCGTGGTCGATCTCAGACTGACACTATGAAGAACACGGACCGGATACTGACCGGATACATAGCCAGAGTTGAACAGTCAGATGAGCCTAATCAGTCAACACAGCAGAATTTGAAACCATGATTCTTTCGTATGCTCCTAGATCTGGTAGGAGAAAAAGTGGCAAAAACCAAAAAGGTCTAAAGCGCTGGTGATAAGTATATGCTTATGTTGGATTTAAATCAACAACAAAGCTGAGGACACACCTAAAGCGCTGGTGATAAGTATATGCTTATGTTGGATTTAAATCAACAACAAAGCTGAGGACACACCTGGAGATGTGGAATTTGATGGAAGAATAAGAAGGTGATGGACGAATTGAGAAAAATAGCGAAATATGAGTGAGTGATTTTCATTTATAAGAGAAATTTAATAAAAGAGAAATAAGAGAGATAACAAATATGCAGACCTAAAGCGCTGGTGATAAGTATATGCTTATGTTGGATTTAAATCAACAACAAAGCTGAGGACACACCTGGAGATGTGGAATTTGATGGAAGAATAAGAAGGTGATGGACGAATTGAGAAAAATAGCGAAATATGAGTGAGTGAAGAAAACAAATACAAGGCTACAGAAGACACTATTTATACAGCACAAAAGTCTTGCAGGGCCTACAATAGTCACACAATCATTCACGCTACAAAAGTCCATTTGTTCCTTATTTCATTATCCATCTATACCAAGCCATCTTGTGTTCCAATACCAAGCCATCTTATCCGGTCTGTTGTTAGTTATATGGTAAGTTGGTTAGAAACGATGTTAGGGGTTTAGCGCAACGAGAAAAAGTATTAGTCTAGTCTAAAATATACAAATTTAACTAGACTAGAATAATTAATTACGAAACCCCCCCTCGTTAGCTAAACCACCTCCTTCAATTAAACCAAGATCTCGTCGAAATTGTTGTAGTTTTGATTTATCCAGAGATTTTGTAAGTATATCGGCCACCATATCATTAGTTGAACAATATTTTATGTCAATGCTTTTATCCTGAATTTTCTCTCGGATCCAATGAAATTGTATTTCGATATGTTTGGTACGCCCGTGAAAGACTGGATTACGAGACAGAGCTATTGATCCTTGATTGTCACCAAAAAGAGTGGTTGAAACTAATTGATCATACCCAAAATCAGCCATAAGTCTTCGAATCCACATGCCTTCTTGTCCGGCATCAAGAAAACCTTTGTATTCTGCTTCAGTTGATGAAAGAGCGACAGTCGGTTGTTTCTTGCATCGCCAGCTCACAGCGCCTCCATGAAACAGAAAAGTATAACCAGATGTGGATCGGCGAGTGATAGTACAACCAGCCCAATTAGAATCAGAAAAAGCAATAGGAGGGCCGGTAAATTCAGGTTGAAATTTAAGTAATGTTTCATTGATAGGTTGAATTCCATACGTAAGACACAAATTAGAGGTTCCTCGTAGGTAACGTAAAACACGTTTGAAATGACCCCAATGATCCATGGTTGGCTTTTCAAGGAATTGAGACAGTAGACTGACAGGATGAGATAAGTCCGGACGGGTGCATTGGGAAAGCCAGTTTAATGATCCAATAGCACGGCAATAGTTGAGTCCACTTGCTTTAAACTCTACCACTTCATTATCCGTACCAGGAAGAATAGGCAAGTTTGATTGAAGAGGAGTTCCGAGCGATTTGCAGTCTTCCATTCCATACACCTTAAGAAGTTCTTCAATGTATTTAGATTGACTGATAGATAAAATTCTTGCTTCTTGATTCCTCGTAATTTGCATACCTAGCATGTTTTTCACTGGTCCTAAATCTTTCAAACGATAGTCGTCTTTTAAAGCCTCAAGAACCCAACTGACACCCTTTCCAACAATCACAATATCATCTACCCACATATAAATCAAGATCCTGTCACCCTTCTTTCCAACGTAGATAAACAAACAAGCATCAGCATCACTGACCACGAATCCATGCTTGTAATACCAAGATTTGATTGTAAGATACCAACTCCTCGATGCTTGCTTCAGGCCATATAAAGAACGAAGAAGTTTGAGCCAAACAGAGCCACATCGAGATAAGAGAGTTGGGAGCCAATCACGAAAAGGAGATAGAAGAGGTAATTGTTTGATCCAATCGATAAAGCCATCGGGTATTTGAATGTATACGACTTCACCATCAGCCAAAGGGGAATTAAGAAAAGCTGTGACAAAATCAGCTTGTTGTATTTCGAGATCCTCGACAGCAGCGTGGCCAAAAAGGGCTCTCAGAGTTGCCAAACGTCCAGTTGGAGAAAAAGTTTCGTCAAAATCTTTTCCTTCCTCTTGAAGAAACCCACGAGCTACACATCTAGCTTTGAATTTGTTGAGAAAGCCAGAATCGTCAAACTTTCGTGTGTACACGAATCGGGTTGTAATTGGTTTATGATCGGAAGGAATACTGTCAACGATCTCAAAGACGTGATTAGCAGCAAAGGAATCAAACTCTTCAAAGGTAGCTTGTTGCCATTTGATAGAGTTGCGAGTTAGAAGAGCTTTCGAATAGGTAGGAGGATTTGGTTCAAGATCGAGCGTAGATAAATTGGATGATTCGTCAATAGAATTGCCAATGATGGATATAAGCGCAGTTGCACTAATGTTTTCACGTTCTTGTCGAATTTCTTCGGCAATGACAGGCTGATGAAGACGAATTCAAACAGGTTCTCTTCCCAAGATTTCTTCTTCGGTGAAGGGTACAATGGAAGTAGTCGGATTCTTTGATAGTTCGACAAAAGGGAACTCAGATTCATTAAATTTGACATCATGAGTGGTATAGATTGTCCCAGTGGCGGGATCGTATAGGCGGTAATTTTTCATTCCTTCAATAAATCCAACGAGAACAAGCTTTTCAGCACGAGGACCAAACTTCCCATCTCTTCCGTGAGTAAGATGGCGAAATGCAGCACAACCAAAGATTCGAATATGGCCAACCAAAGGGATTGATCCATGCAAAGATTCAAAAGGAGTAATGCCATCACAAGATCTCGATACTGTACGATTTTCAAGATACACAGCAGTTAAAACTGCAGCACCCCACATGAAAGCAGGGATAGAAGCGCGGTGTAGCATTGTTCGAGCTTTTTCGACAGTCGTTCTGTTGCCTCGTTCGGAAAAGGGATTTTGCTGAGGAGTGTGAGACGCCGTAACATCATGAGATATACCTTCACTTTTAAGAAACTCCCTGAAATCGTTGTTCACATACTCTCCACCACCATCACTAACAAGCTTTCTTACAACACGTCCTGTCATACGTTCAGTCAAAGTCTTCCACTCTTTAAATTTATCGAGTGCTTCATTCTTGAAACGTAATAAGTATATCCATCGGTAAGAAGAGTGACCATCCGTGATATTCATAAAGTATTCATAGCCTGACGGTGTAGGAGGATTGATTCTTCCAGAGAGGTCAGAGTGAACAACATCGAGAGGTTTAGAAGGACGGGGTATTTTACCGGAAAAAGGAAGACGGGTAGATCGACTTATAGCGCACGAGTCGCAGAACTCCTTACCAGATACATTCTCAACACCCTCAGTGTGTGACGCAGTAGAAAGCAAATAATCGTGATTGATATGACCAAGCCGATCATGCCAAAGGTTAAAAGAAAAGGCATGATTTTTATTGACAGGGAGACGAGAAATAGTAAGATTGGGAAATAAAAGTCGATCTTTAACAACACCATCGAAAACAACTCAATCATCACGAGTAACAGAAAAAGTAGAATCACCGCGGTAGAATACTTGAGATCCTTTCTGCCAAAGAAGAGACAGAGGGATAAGGTTGTATGGAAGAGCGGGAACATGAAGAGCGTTTTGAAAGATTATAACACCACCAACACCAGTAACAGCAACAACTCCTTGGCCAATTGCCTGAACAGTTCTCCCCACTTCTCCAATGTTAACATTTGAGATGATTTCGGAATAACTTGAAAATGAATCCCTACTAGTGTACATCACATCAGAACACCCTGAATCGAGAAGGGTTGAAGTTGGAGTAAGTGCGACGTTCAGAGCATTTGTTGAAGATGAAAAAGATGGAGCTAACAAGGGGTCGTCAAGGTCCATTCCAGCGTATAAGGCAGTAGGAACGGCCGCAGGAGCTGGAGTAGTGTCCGAGGCAGCGACAGACGCATTATTCTTGCGAGCACAAGAGTAAGTAGGCTTAAGCTCAGGATGAGCAATCCAACATCTCGGTTCCAAGTGACCGGGGCGTTTGCAGTGAGTACACATGTGACCAGGATTCTTGTTTCCGGTTGAGATCAACGCAGTTGAAGTGGAAGTGTCGTCCATAGTAGCTTGCTGATGAGCGTCTTGCTCGAGACGATTTAAGATAAAGTTGACTTCAGTCTTCGAGGTCATAGAATGGGAAACTACTCGAATAAAAGACTCCGTTGATCGGGGAAGGCGTGCAAGAATTAAGACAATAAGAACTCGTTCCGGGATGTCCAGACCAATGCGAGAAAGGGTAGCAAGTGAAGTTCGAACTTCACTGCAAAATTGGATTGATGTTTGATACTTGATATGAAGAAAAGTATGTAAAACATGAGTTTGATGAAATACGTTATTAGGCATATATTTATCCTTGAGATGTTTCCAGAGTCCTGCGCCAGTCTTTGCAGTACCCGCCTTGCTTGAAAATTGAGTAGCCAAAGCGAGATTATTCTCATCCAAGTGTCTGACAATAAAATTATAAGCTTTGCGTTCAAGTTTTGAATATGTGACAAGTTCATCAGCTGGCGAGTTTTCACTGAGAACGTAAGAACCATCAACAACACTAAAGATGTTTAAGTTGTCCATCTCACTTTCCATCCAAGTAGTCCATATGTTGTAGTTTTTATCAGTTAACTGCATTCGAATCGCAGCAGGCGCCGCGGCTAGCGCGGTCGTCGCAGTGGTGAGAGCCGGATTCATGGCAGTGGTGGATGCGTAAGTTCGTGCGGTTTTTGGTGGTGCGTCGGTTGGTAAGGTCTCCTCAGTTGACATTGAGTAAAGTACTGATAATGTTTCGTATGCTCCTAGATCTGGTAGGAGAAAAAGTGGCAAAAACCAAAAAGGTCTAAAGCGCTGGTGATAAGTATATGCTTATGTTGGATTTAAATCAACAACAAAGCTGAGGACACACCTAAAGCGCTGGTGATAAGTATATGCTTATGTTGGATTTAAATCAACAACAAAGCTGAGGACACACCTGGAGATGTGGAATTTGATGGAAGAATAAGAAGGTGATGGACGAATTGAGAAAAATAGCGAAATATGAGTGAGTGATTTTCATTTATAAGAGAAATTTAATAAAAGAGAAATAAGAGAGATAACAAATATGCAGACCTAAAGCGCTGGTGATAAGTATATGCTTATGTTGGATTTAAATCAACAACAAAGCTGAGGACACACCTGGAGATGTGGAATTTGATGGAAGAATAAGAAGGTGATGGACGAATTGAGAAAAATAGCGAAATATGAGTGAGTGAAGAAAACAAATACAAGGCTACAGAAGACACTATTTATACAGCACAAAAGTCTTGCAGGGCCTACAATAGTCACACAATCATTCACGCTACAAAAGTCCATTTGTCTATACCAAGCCATCTTGTGTTCCAATACCAAGCCATCTTATCCGGTCTGTTGTTAGTTATATGGTAAGTTGGTTAGAAACGATGTTAGGGGTTTAGCGCAACGAGAAAAAGTATTAGTCTAGTCTAAAATATACAGCTCTAAATAGTGGAATCCTAGTTAATTACGAAAGATTCATCTCGATCAATCTCAACATCAACACGTCCTACATCCCACTTGGTCACCTCACGGATCCTATGCGAAATGGCCCAACAAACTAAACCTGAACTGCGCGCTAGTGACTCTACTTCACTACCTACAAACCTCTTCACCCGATCATCTGGTTTCCCATCACGTCGAGGTCAGAAAGACAAAACAGATCAAGCAGTTCGAGAGACCGATACCGATGCAGCACTCGCCAGACTCTCAGCTGCATCCTTAGGCTACATTGAGGAGTGAGTTCATCCATTCTTCTGTTCATCTGTTGCGTGAGAATCTGATCATGTATGCGCTTTTTCCAGCCCGTTTGTACCACTTCTTCTGCGCGACTCACCCTCTTCCGTTCGTCGACCGCCATGGGTTAACATAGGGACTCATCATCGCACATACATTATGGACCTTCTTATTCTTCATTTTATCAATTCCCCAGCTCCCATCGATCCTCAAACCGGTCTCCCACGTCCCAAACAAGTCTTATCCCTCGGCGCGGGCTCAGACAGTCGATTCTGGCGCCTCCGCAATCGGTGGTCTGGGACATGGCCAATCAGCATGTGGGTTGAGACAGATTTTCTAGAGAGCACATCGATCAAGGCGAAGCGGATTGCAAGTAATGAGCGACTCTCGACGCTCTGCGGCGGGAACGTTTCTCCTAGCAATCACACCTCACACGAGACCTCGCCTCACACAGGTAAAGAGTTCTCGCCCTACTTGCTTTGCTCGCGGAGCTTGTGTTCATACTTTCTCTCTCGTAGCACATAGTCAAGACCCCACTGAGCTATACTCAAAGCATTACACACTCCTTTCCAGTGATCTCCGTTCGACCCAAGAACTCGTTCCAAAATTGAAATCCGTCCTCAATCCTGATGGCTTCACTCTCATCCTCGCCGAGCTTGTACTCGTCTACCTCTCACCTTCAGACTCCTCGGCGTGTCTCCGCCACATCATTGATGCCCTTGCTCCTGGACCAATGATGCTTGTGAGCTATGAGGCTTTAGATCTTGGTGATAACTTCAGCCGGGTCATGGTCCAAAACCTTAAGGTAAGTCCTCTTCTTTTCTCCTTTTCTTCTCACATACTGCCTCGCACTTATATCTCGTTTCCAGGCGCGTGGTCTCGAATTACTTGGACTGGCGGGAAATCAATCGGCGAAAAGCCTTGCTGATCGGTTTGAGCAACTCGGATTTCAGTCTTCTGCATCCATTGACATCACTAGCCTACGCTCAACAGATCTATCGGCACCTCAAGCGTTCATTGAAACATGGCAGGAAGAATTGAATCGAATCAGACGGTTGGAGTCAATAGACGAACTCGAAGAACTTCACCTTGTCCTTGCGCATTACGCTGTCTCTTGGGCTATCATTCGTCATAAAGGTGCACAGATTGGCAAAAACCATTTGTCAGGCGCTTTTTGTCTCCCGGAGTTGGGAGAACAATCTGGTTAGAAAATCTGCTGACTGTGGAACTCTTGGGGTTTCAGGTAAGATCACAAGAATGAAGTGTGCAACCAAGTACAAAAATGTGTAAAATAATAGGACACACTTGCTCATGCTATCAGAAGTGGTTCAAGGCAATTTTTGTCTAGCTTACTCTCAGCCCTGAGTACATATCATAATAAAAACATCAAAAATAGCAATTAAACTCGAGGCAAAGATTCAAGTAGGGCTGTGACCTGGACCTGGCCCTGGCCTGCCAACTCTGCCTGATGCTATCAGAGATGCTGAGGGTCTGCACAGCATGTGAATCTCAGTTGATCAGACTCACAAGAGCACTGCGGTGCGCCGCGCAGCTGGTCTGGCTGGGGTGCCAATCCTTTTTCCGCCAAAAAAATGCCTTCATGCTAGTCTCCTGAGCTAATCACAGTTAGTAGATCTTCAGCTGACAATCATCACCCTTGTGCACCCCTCCAAACTGGATAGTGAATCCAATAATTATCCACTTTCCAAGTGATTTTTGTGCCTAAAAATGAGCCTGGCCTTGCCTGGCCTGCCCTGTTTGGCCCTGAGCAATCTTCAGAGGTCATGGGGTTTACTCAAGACAAAATTTGGCCCTGGGGCCAGCCCTGAACTCACATAGTCAGGTTACAGCCCTAGTTTCAAGTGTCAAGTTACATAGGGAAACAAAATTTGACCGTATATCAGAAGATACTGGCTTTTTGAGGACTGGATTGCAAAGGTTTGACTGTATATAAACCCTGAAATCCAACCATTTTGAGAATCATCACATTATCATTCAACAACTTTACAAATTGCTCATTTCATCTACCTAGAACTTTGAAACTTTGTTGAACATCTACAAAATTTGAAAGCCTAATTTTACAAACCCTGAATCTTCAACCTTGTCTTGTTGGCTATTTTGTGTGCACAGTCAAACCTTGTTTATTTTTGATTAGACTCCAAAATCAATAATATTTGTAATGTCTATTTGGTGGAATTACATGTAAGGAAGAAGTCCTTGAGTGCTACTTATATCAGATTTGGGATTAATCTGATAGAAGAGACTATACATCTACAGACAAATCCCTATTAGTCAGAGTGAAAGGTTCCTGGTGTTATGATAGACTTTAACACCACCTTCTTTGACATCTCTTTGAACAATAGCGGTTCTCAAACCTAACCCGGTTTGTAAAAATCCCGGTACACCCGGTTGATTTTTTGGCGGTAAGTGGGTGTACCAGGTTGGGGTCTGAGCTTTCAGACCCAATCACCCAGATCAGCCAACTCACAGGCACCATCACAATGCCAACCTCAACTACCCGCAACGACGTTTTGGCCTACTTGAAGTGCTTCTTTGCACTCCACACCGTGTCTGTGTAGGCTTTGCTAGTCGACGAGCGCACACCAACTCCCTTTGAGGCAGAAAGGGAAGTCGTGCGCGCTCGTCGCCCAGCGAACACTACCCGGACACGGTGCCAGGTAGCATCGATGGCCACAACCTATTACCAAACCCATACGAACCCCAGCGACCTCACTGTAAGGAGTACACATATAGACACATATGTACGGCTGGTATGGGTATTGATGTATGGGGTTATGCGGGTTTCACTATATCTTCTTTGTCATCGCCCGGCTTCGGAAAGTCTTCACTCCTCAGAGAGCTAATCTTGGACTTTCTGGAGCTAGGTACGTTTATGACCCTTTTTCATCATTTCACTTGGTTCTGTTCTTTGTATCTTTTCCAGGACTCCTCAGAGAGCTAATCTTGGACTTTCTGGAGCTAGTTTCGTAATCAAAACATAACGAAGTTCCTAGTTAGTGCTCTCTCGAGAAGTCGAGCCGGAAACTTATCCGGACCCACAGTGAAGGTTCTCACGAACCTTACACTTTTTTTAACTAGATCACTTCGAAAAGTTAAAAACATTTTTTTACACTACCCCACAACCTTTCAACCCACCTCGTCCTTCGGGATCATCTGTCAACTGGCCCTTTTTCTCTCTGATTCCAGCAACAAATCGAATGTCACTTAAACCTGATAATTTTCTTGACGATCCTGATTCTCTACTACGACAAGCGCGGAAAGAGAAAGCCAAACAACCCGGCCCAGTGGATCTTGAGAGCCCGCCAGCAGGCAGACCACCGAATTTTTCGTGGAAACCAGAAGCCTCGCCAGCGGCAGTAACCGATCGCATAGTATACGCTTCCTCATTTCAGCAAAGCAAGTCATCAGATTCGAAAAAGTTACACTTCTCGCCAATAGAGGTGTCACCATCAGCACCAGAAAAGACCGTTGTCGATTTACATTTCAAGAAGCTTCTCGGGCAAGCCGTTACACCACATCCACCGGGTTATCTGCCACAAGACACTCCGGTTGCAAATCAGCCAACTAGTACGACTGGCGCCTTGACTCTTACAACCGATCCTACCAACACCATGTCAAGGGAAGAAGATGCGGAAACTCTCAGGCAGCTGCGAAGTCAAGTCGAAACCCTGGAGCAGCGGACTATTCAGCTTGATCAATCTAGACAAGAAACAGCTGACTTGCAACGGATGGTACGAGAACTCCTAGCTGAACGAAGTCGACCGGCATCGGTGCATAACGTTGCTACAACTTCCAATCTCAACGAGGAGACCAGTCAAGGCGAAGGAGGAAACACCTTCAGTCGATATGTCAACACCACTCCAGTATCGCCAACACCACCGCCAAAGAACGCACCTACGCAGCCAAGCATTAACCCGCGAGCGTCGATGGCTGCAAGTAGTCATGTCAATCAACCTGAGTTCAGTGAAGCGACTCAGCGACGTGTAGTTTGGGCTGAGGAGGATTTACCCCCTACGCAATCTACTCCTGCGGTTTTTAATACCACGCCTGCTGTTCCTTCGCCCGCGGCGACCTTGTATTCGCCGGCTCCGCATCAAGTCCAACCTGTAGCGACCATCAATCGTCCTTACCAACCAGCCACTTACCAGACGCCTATCGGTGAATCTTGCGAGTTGATCACAGCAGATCGAGTCAAACTGAGCGATCTACCGAAGTTCAGTGGAAAATATGGAAAGCCTGCCGACTTGTTTCATTGGCAAAGCCTTATCGAGGAGACGTTTGAAATTAAGAATCTTACTGATGATCGTGAGAAATTGAAATTACTTGGGTCCTTATTAAACAACGAAGAATTGTCGGCTTGGTATCAGGCGAATAAGGATGACTTGAAACAACAATCCTGGGAGGGTGCAATGCAGGCAATGGCGATGGGTACCTTACCATACGCGTGGCTAACGGATACGGAAGACTCACTTCGACGATTGGAGATGAAACCCGGCGAGACTTTTGACAACTACGTCATTCGTGCCCAAGCATTGCACCGACTGGTCAAACGCTTTGGACAAGTTAATGATCACAATCTGGCTCAGTACATCACTTGGGGAGCGCCTCAGCTTTTCAGAGACCTCATCAACAAGGAGGGGCACCTACTCAAGCAACCGTTCTCCTTCCCAGTTTTCAAAAATGCAGCGGACGCTAACTGGCGTTTTCTAGTTCATAGTCGTTTAATCCCGGATCCAACTGTCAAATCCAAGCTTGGTCCGCTACCAACAAACTCTGGCTCTACGAGCGCAGTCAACGGTCGATCAGCTCCTCAGCCGAGGCAACGATCAGACGAAGAACGTGCTGACAATGCATGGCGATATCATGAATATCTTCGACGAACGGGTATCTGTGCGACTTGCAAAGAGAAATGCAATAATCCAAACTGCAATCGAAGAAACCCAAGGTTCCTATCTGTCCCTGCCGACTTCAACCCTGGTCCACGACCCCGCCGTACTCCTTTAGCTACCACTATCTGTCCCTGCCGACTTCAACCCTGGTCCACGACCCCGCCGTACTCCTTTAGCTACCACTACAACTGCACCTCCAGGAGCGCCAACTCAAAGGCCAGCGGGTCGACCACCATCCGCCACCACTGCTCATCGAGTTGCCGCTATGGAGACCTTTCCGGACCTCTTAGCTGAAGACATTGCGGCTTATGAGGAGGCGGACAATGCATTGCACCGGGTTATTGAGGCTGAAGTTGGCATGGAGGCACGGTGCGTACCGAAAGTTCCTGAGTCTCCCATCATATTGGAGCTAATCTGTAATGGTAAACCCATTCGTGCTTTGATTGACTCTGGAGCAGGGACCAACCTGTTGTCGGAGAAGGTGGCCAGTAGTTTGCGCATCCCTCGACGTCCATTGGTCTCCCCGGTTGAGGTACGCTTAGCTATTGCTACTGAGGGGAAGCCTGTAGTCCTGACCGAATTTGCTTTTGCTAATTTGAAGAGTGACCAACCAAACATACGATTCGGCGCTGTTTTTTTTAAATTGGCGCCTTTGGGTTCAACTTATGACATGATATTGGGATCTCCTTTCTTGACGAAATTCAAATTAGATATCTCCCTTCATCGGCGTTGTGTTGTTCATACATCAAGTGGAAAAGTTTTGTTTGAAAAAGGAATGCAATCAGAATTTCAAAGGCTACTATGTGCGGTTGAGAATTTAGAGAAGTTGAGTGAAGTTCAGCAGTTGAGTGAGAGAGAAGACAAGGTACTTAAAGAGTTTGAAGACATGTTTCCACCGGAACTGCCTCCTGTCGAAGAGGGAGATGTGCCTGCAGAGGTTTTTCCTGAGGGAATGCCTGATCCTTTTCGGCAAGTAAGACATAAGATTGTACTCACTGACCCTGATGTTGTGATCAATGAAAAACAATATGGTTATCCTCAACGTTATCGGGATGCATGGCGTAAGTTATTGGATCAACACATCAAGGCAGGACGACTCCGACGATCTCACAGTCAATACGGCTCACCTTCAATGATAATACCAAAGAAGGACCCGTCGGAATTACCACGTTGGGTGTGTGACTACAGGAAGCTGAATAAGTACACAGTCAAGGATAGAGCGCCTTTGCCCAACGTTGATGAAGCAGTGCGACTAGTGGCGACAGGAAGGGTCTGGTCCGTAATCGACCAAATCAGTT